TGCACCACTCTGTGTTGAATGATAAATAATAAATAAATTTATAAGAAAAAAAAGAATACAGAAAAGAAAGAAAGAAGAAGATTGCAAGAACAGGAGACAGGAATACAGACAACACGTGCACAGATTATCAGGTAATCTGACGGAAGAGTCTGGAAATGAAAGATGGCGGCCAGAGAGCTATATCCAGGAGATAACTGTGGAAAAGCAAGGCAAAAAAGGTGCTTTCAACACTGAGGCTGTGGCTCAGTCTGAGCTGTTTTTGAGCCTATGCAAATCAAGCAGTTACGGGGTCAGATCTTGCTAGAGATTTGGGCTGTATCACAGAGTTTCTTGTTAAGACCTTTGTCCTACTTGTTTTTGAAGAAAGTAAAAGGTAGTTTGAATGTTCCACCACAGGACCAGGAATATATACTTTTTGTACTGGACATGGCTTTTCTTCAAGTGGTAAGCCATGACATTGAGAGGATTTACTACTTTTTCCACAGGTTCTTATTCCATTTGTCCAGCAAGACATATTTTCAAAATCTTTCTTGCCGCATTAACCGTTACTCTTAAAGATTCCACATGTCCCTATTCTGTTCCAGGGATGGCATGCGGAAGTCTGCTGGCCAGAGGTTGAAGCTATGTGTGTACTGTAGCCGTACAATTATGAACAATCTGTGCACTAACTTTAAACCGTCCTTGAATAGTAAAAACAATTGTTTTCCTTCTTTGCAATTAAAAGCTAAACAGGTTTTGTAGATCCATTACATTGCTTCACATAGCTGTATCAATACAAGGCTCGTTCCTGTAGAGATGAAAATGGACTCTGTCATCAGGACAGTGTCCTACTCCTCTTCATCCAGCTTAGGGGCAACCTTTTATAATGGCATGTGGGCATAGTTTTATGTTTTTGGAGGCTCAAAAGTCTTCTTTAGGCCTATTTTGGGTCCTATCCTGTTTGGTTTATCATTATGCAGCTTTGGAAATTGAAGTCAAAGGGTTTGGCACCATAGCAGATCTCTCAGCCTGTTGAGCACACCCATGAGGAGGTCCACCAGTTTGTCAATTGCAATTAAGTCATTATTCATCAGCCCACACTGCTGACAAACAATATTACTCTAAAGGATTTTTGCTCTGTGGTGCGTGCATAGCACAGCCCTGTGCTTGTTGTCCCAGGGCGGTGCTTTGCATGTGGCACAGTGCTCCATGTCTTTGTCCTTAACTATAGCCATGGCCATTGACTCCATCTCTGTGGACTCCCAAATAATCCTAAAACTTCCAGGAAGCCTTGTATTATGCAGTGAAATCCTTTCATTTTTGTCAGGGAAGAAATAGAGATTGAGCACGACAAACCCTACCCAAGGCAAGGATAAGTGACACAAATCCCACCCTCACATCCCTCTCTTTATTCTTATTATCTTTACTTGACAATGGTGAAATGCTTGCAAATGTATTGTCTTGTGGGAAGGTTTTATAAGCCAACATCGAGGTTGTTCTTTAGGCCTTCAAGCAGTATATGTTGGTCCACCTAAATCTCTAGATTTTAGTGGGGCAGGAATGGTTGGGTTTCTACGACAGCTATAGCATCGGGTGGGCTAAGACCTACTTACTGTAATTTAGGAGACTCAAAAGCGCTATATGCTACAATTGGTAATTCACCCATTCTTTCGCCTAAAGGGGATTTTTAACAATGTGACAAAGTACTTTGTTTGCACATTGAAATAAAGAACATCCAGTTTTTGGCTAAGTGAGGAAAAGTGGTCTGCCTTTTGTATTTATTGACATATATCCTGCCCTCTCTTACATCCCTTAAGTAATACCAAAGGACGATTATTAGCGGGTCGAGCCATGGTTGAAAAACCCAGGTTAATGTTGTATTTTCAGTGAAAAAGAGGCTTAAGTAAGGCTAAACTTATGGCATGTGTTGTTGCCTGACAACACCGTGAAAGTTACTTCCATGTACGACAGTGGTTGTCAATACAAAGTCCAGGTATGAAACTTTCTTTTTCATGGAGTTACATCCCTTGCCGATTTAGCCAGTGTATGGCTTGTGTACCAGAATCTCCTAAAATGCTGGCATACGCTGAACTTCCTGTTTTTTTCCCCCAATTTTGGGCGTATTAATGGAATATTCATAATGAGTCCAGAGTGTACGTCCAATGACAGCCTTATTTATGCATAATGCAGCGTAATGCCCATGAAATGATGCACAAGCCAATGTCCTGAGGGGAGTAGCAATGCGCCTGGAGGCGCCTGGCCCCCATAAAAAGATGTCTTTGATTGTGATATTAAACATCCAAAAAAAAAAGAAGAAATAAAAAGAAATAGAAAGTTTGCAGTTGCAGCAGGTTTAGCGTGCAACCCCCTTTTATACCAAAACGCTGCCAATATGCCATTATACGGTAGCTGTACATTAGAAACATGTTCAGTGGTGGTCTGGAACACATCAAATATGGTGATATACGTTGGATGTAAGTTCTTGATAAGTTACGCATAAGTTATGCACATAGTACTCATAGGTTTTGGATAAGCTAGATGCCAAAACTTATGAGTAACTCACACTTAACGTATATCGATTAGATAACTTACTTGTAACTTATGGCCCATGAGCATAAGTTATGAGAATAAGCTGGCATATGTTGAGAAATTTTGAGCATGCTCAAAATGTGCCAGTGGGTTTCAGCATACTCATAACTTATACAAAACATACCCATAACTTATCCAACCTATGCCAGCATTTTTCGTATGTGAGGCATACGCTGTCTAAATCGTTAAGGTGTGACAGGGCCTTTAACTCTTCAAAGTTTGGACAATGTTGAGGAGGCAGCTAGCCATCCATCTATCCATTTCCATCTCACTTTATCCCAGCTGGGGTCACATGGGTGCTGGTGCCTATCTCCAGCTGTCTACGGGCGATGGCCGAGCTACACCCTGGACAGGATGCCAGTTCATCGCAAGGCAACACAGAGACAAACACGACAAAAAAGCATTCACGCACACAAAAGGAGAATTTATAGAAGTTGTGGGAGGAAGCCAGAGTACCCAGAGAGAACCCACGCATGCACCAGGAGAACATGCAAACTCCATGCATAAAGACCCTGCACCTACAATCGAACCCAGAACCCTTTTGCTGCAATTTAGCAGTGCTACCCACTGTTCCACTGAGCAGCCCAGGAGGCAACCAGATAAGAGTAATTATTTCTTGTGTGCTGTGCTTATCATTTTAAAGGGACAACCATGTGGAACTCTGTTATGTAAGACTTAAAATATTATAAAAATATCCAGATGAAATGCCCCCTTGAATGTCAATTATATTGCATGTATAAACAAAGGGTAAATAAAAAGAAAAGATTATCAGATTTATTAGGGTATTGGCAAGGCAGAGTTCCCTGTTGTACAATATAGACTGTATGTTAGCACATTTAAGCAAAGTTGTGCAGGTGTAAAAGAATAACATAAAATAAGATATATAAAAAATGACTCTCATGTAGACTTTGCCTTGATGTAAGATCACAATGACAAAAGAGTCAACAAAGATTAGAGAAAATATAAGGGTTAGGGTTAGTAACAGAATTAGTGGCCATATTTCCCAGAAATACTATGCTTCATTTTTGGGAAGGATCTCAGATGCGCTTTGCCTGCTTCAGATGATTTAATGCTCATAAAGCACTGCTCCAGCTGCTCAAAATTTGCTGGAGCAGGCTGTGATGCACATAGACCATAGACTTTTCATGTAAACTAGCTTCTCATGCTGCTCAAAGCATGTTCAGTGTAAACGCAGCATATGTTTGTACTTTGAGTCAAAGGGGTATTGCGTTTTGGCACCAGTCATATGTTTGGCCAAAACATAATAATACTCAAGGAAAGTAATTACTTACTGTACAAGGTATGTCCAAGATGCTGGTGAAGATTATGTGTTATAGTCATTTCAAAAAAACAAACCAGTGGACTTTCTTTTCCAAGTCTGATGACTTGCACTTCCCATCCAGAAAACTTTCTCAATTCAAAATGTCTGGAGTAGCGTTGAGTTCCAGGCTTATAGAGTAACCCAACAAAAGCCTTCGTACGGCTTAGAAAACATGCAAATCGAACCGAAAACAGGTCGCCCCCTTAATAATGTTGAGTCGTTGAGGTAGTTGTTGGCCTGCAAAACCCGAAACTGGCCCATGCCTCTGTAAATGGGAGTCATTAGGGTTGTTGTTGACCAGGCTAAACAGGCGAGATGTTTTGATCCCCTGTAATATTGTCTTCACACTGTATGGTCATTAAGACTATCACAAAAGTCCTTTAACATTTTGTTTTTATCCAAACCTTTAGCATTGTAAAGAGCTACTGCTTACTGGATCTGGAAGATATGTTAACCCAATGTTGAAACAATTTCTATGCAGGAAAGGAAATTTCAAAAGTAGCAGAATCTGCATCAATGTCATGGTGGCTACAATAAGAAAAGTTAATCAGTTAATGCTAGTTTAAAGGTATGGAGGACAATCTTTTGTTTTCAGGTGGATCATATAAATGTGGTTCTCCTAAATGTCAATCATTCTGGTGATATGCTTACGTAAGACTGTCCTACATGCTCTTCCCAGTAGCTATCTTTTTCTGTGCATTCGCACTTTCAGGCATACATTTGTGGTGATGATTACGGGATGACTATGACCTGGATGACTGAGAACCTTCATCAGTATACTGGAATTATTACATTATTGCCTGTTTCATTTAAACACACCTTGCATAAATATATTCGATAATCAATTGTTTCATATATGGGCATACATACACCCTATATTTTAGTAGATCAGTTAATCTCATCCTTGACATCAATATGATGAGCTCTAAGGTCCTGGAATCTATACTAATTATTTTAAACAAGACCAGCATAACGTATCACACTCAAGAAGCAGAATTAAATAAAGATTTTTTACCACAACATAATCAGTGAGGGTTACCTGGTGGTAGCCACACCTGTACCCAGCCTAAAAAAAAATCACAGGCCAGACAGCAGTGCTTACTTTGCATTTGAATTTTGATTAAGGGAACCAATTTCTGAAGTTAGTTTCCAGCATGTTGCATCTGTACACTTAGATGTTGCTTTCTCAGGATACAGGTTCTTAACATTATACACATTTGGACACCATTTTTTCTTTGTTTCAATTCTAACCTTGTCTCAAAATTCTGTCCTAAGAAAATATGATTAAGATGTGATAAATAAATCAATTCATATGAATTTTTTTAATTTCAGAATAGGTATCTTGTCTTTCCTAGTGTGGATGAATTTCCAATAGGATATCAGAATTGCAAAAAGGTCAATTTTAGCTCTTTAGAAGAAGTACTTTTTTTTTTACCTCATTTTCAGTTTAAGATTAATATAAACCAGTTAGAGCTTCATGATGCACTCAACTGTCATATCTTTAAGTATTTCTATAACAAAAAGCCTAAAAACATTTCTCTGCACTGTATATGTACTGTATGTCTGATGCATAAAGTAAATGTAACAAAAAGTTATGAAACTGTTAATAATATAGGATTTTATATTTTTAGACTTTTTATACAAAGCATTGTACTTCTGACATTCAGAAATGCGAACAAAGTCTTACATCTGAGACACTCAAATAAAAGATTGACAAAACAAAGATTCAGATACTGCAATATTTCGTGGAGTCCATAAAAATAACAACTAACACAGTATGCAGAAAAACTATAAAGAAAAACCAGGTGTATTATTTTAGGCCTGGCTGTGATTAACTAATTTCTGTTCTAGAGCTTATTCTATATGTACAGATTTTTTTCACAACACAAGGATGCTAAAACTCTGCCGCCTCCTCCTCCACCTGTCCTCCTTCAGCTCTTGGTGAATCCAGCCCCATGTTCCTCTCTGGAACCATCTGCTGCTCCCTGGTGGTCTGCAGGAAGATGGCAGACAATACAGCTGAGTTAGAGCATCATCCCAGGCTGAGGGCTTAAACTCAGTCAAAAATAAATGCTAGCACTACCTTAGAGACACAGCAAACCAGAGAGATGAGGAACAGCAGTGTCAGCAGCCGGATCACCAGTTTGACGATAAAAACTGTTGGATCTAACAAGACATATTGTGTCAGCAGGTCACTTCATGTAAAAACTTAAACAAACACAGCTGAGTTCAGCTTTCCATGGCTCACCTAATATATTCACAGTCAACAGACGGCTCTTAGAGGAGAAGTTATGAAAGAAAACATGAACATTATAAACACAACTGTAGTTTCCAAAGTGGTTGGGCCCTGCTGCAGGAAACAGGAAGTGTGCCGAGTGATTGATATGTGGTTGGCTGTAGCTCTGTGTCGTGTTGGCTGAGGTGAAGAAGAGCTGGAAGGAACCTCCTGGATACTGGGGCTGGATGGAGCAAATGATTGTGAAGCTGGAGCCCAATAACACTCCTGCTAAACCCTGGGGGATTGTGCGCGTGACCCCACCCTTGGTGGACACCGAAATGATTGGCTGAACTAGCAGGTCTGAAAGCAGAAAGATAATTGGTTTATAAGTTTAATTACGGGTTGAACTTCAATTTAAATTTAAATACTCCATGAAAATTTTCTTCCAAAAAAGTAAAAAAAACAATCCACTGGACTTTGTCTCCAAGTTTGAAGACATCTCGCTCCCCATCCAGGAAGCTTTCTCAATTCAAATTGTCTGGATTTGCATTGAGTTTGAGGCTTTATAGAGTGGACCAAAAACAAAGCCTTGTTTTTGCTTAGAAACATGCAAATTGAACCTGACAAGCAGGTCCGCCCCTTTAGAATGGGGAATGGGACCATTACAGGGAAACAGAGCACCTCCCCTTCCCAGCCAGGTGAACAATCCCCTTTAACGACCCCCCTTTCAGAATCATAGCAAGGTTTCGGGTATTACAGACTTACAACCAAACGACCCCCATTCTAAAGGATCCAACCTGCTCATCAGGTGCAATTTGCATGTTTCTAAGCATAAATAAGGCTTTGATTTTGGTCCACTCAATAAAGCCTCAAACTCAATGCAAATCCAGACAATTTGAATTGAGAAAGCTTCCTGGATGGAGAGCAAAATGTATTCAAACTTGGAAACAAAGTCCAGTGGATTGTTTTTTTTACTGTTTTGGAATGACTATGACACCAACCCAGTCTCATGGGAAAATGTACCCTCACTACGTTGGTCCACACTGCAAAACGTAGTGGAGGTACATTAATGGCCATTTTTTTGTGGTACTGTTACGTTTCTTCTGCCTATACGCTTTCTATTGTTTTACGTCCTAGTCACGTGACTTTCAAGATTCCAGCTGGGAGAAGAAAAAAATATATATAGATGGCCGACATTCGCTCATTTTTTTGTGGAAAGATTAATAACTTGAGTTTGTTTTTGCATTAAAAAGAGTTTTGATTACATTTCTAGTGAGAAATGTATAGTTTGTTGCCAGAATATTTACTCAGGGAATGTACATATTCACTTGCTTGTTCGTTTCTTGCAAAGATTTTTCAAGATAATGTGAAACTGTAACATTTTGGTATAAACATGGCTGAGATTTCTCTAACTTTTAGTGGGAAAATCAATAATTTCAATCAGTTTCTGCATTTAAATGGGTTTTGATTACATTTATAGCGAGAAGTGTAGGGTTTATTTACATAATATTTACTTAGTGAACATACATAATCACCCGCTTGCTAGTTTTTGCTACGTATTTCGGATCTCGTCAGGATTATGTGAAATTGCAACGTTTAGGCTGCTACCTATCGCCTAGCATTTAGCTGCCGCCCCGATTCAACATTGAATTCTTTGTGATTTAACTCCATCTGACGGATCAAACCCTCGCCACTGCGGCGTTGCGTCTGAGGTTGATTTTCAGATCAATGTATTACGTCGTGGCATACGGGAGAAACTAATTAAACTAGTTTAAAAAAAGGATCATGGGTTAAGATCGGATGTGTTTTATTTGGAAATCTACCGGATCCTTTGTGCAATTAACTTCCTGTTTGGTGCGATCTCATTGATGGATTTTGACCAGATTTTGACCAAAGAGGAACTAAAAAACAAACAAAAAACAATTTAAATACACAACCAGCATATCTGGAATCAGTGACAGAGAGCGACTGGGACCAGAAGTTTATTAATCTCTCCCCACTGATTTCCATTCAAAATGTTTTCGATCCCACCGGGCTCTAGGGAAGGGGCGGGCATACCGCCACCTACTGTTCATGAGTGTGTAGCAACATTGTTTTACATCTATTAAATTCTATTTTTTAATTTTGTATTCTGAAGATAAATAAATAATGCTTTCCTTAATCTATAAATATCTTTTATATTTCCTTTATTTCCCAATAATCCTTTAAGACTCCATTCTTGGCCTGTCCTCTTTTCAATTTCTTCCTTTCAGGTTCATATGTTTTGCAGTTCATCAATACATCTGCATTTTCTATCTCTCCACATCCTTCACATTTATCATTATTTTTCCTCCCTATTAAGTATAAATTGTCATTTAAATAAGTATGACCTACTCTTAATCTGATCATTATTATTTCTTCCCTTCGGTTTCTCTCATTAATATTTCTATTTAATGCTGATTTTTGTACTTTATATAACCTTCTTCATTTTTATCTTCATTCCACCTTTTTTTTTTTTGGCCATTTTTCAATTTCTTTCCTCTTAATAAATGATTTTCCTTCCCCTTTCCCTAAAGGAATTGTAATTGTTATTGCCTCCTCTAATTGCTAATTTGTCTACTACTACTACATTTTCCCACTTTGACCTTTTAAGGTTAGCATATTGACCAAAAGCTGACACCAAAAATAAAGCAATCGATTATGTACAACAATATGCTACATTTAATGAAGACTAATACAGATTTTACTCCCTTATAAGAGTTTAGTTTTAGGTTTTATAGGGGAGAGTTTGTATCGGCAGTCATCTGGGAATCTTTTATGTATTTACTGGTAAAGAATATGCTGATGAAGGTTCTCAGTCATCCAGGTCAAAGTCATTCCGTAAAAATTTTTTTTGATATTTTTTCCGTTAGATTTCCAAATAAATGGGACGGTAGATTTCCAAATAAATGTTTTTGATATTTTTTGAATTTTTACGGAATACTGGTAAAGAACAACCTCTCAACCAATTTAATGTAAATGTTGCGTCGAACCAGAAAGTTATTTGAAGAGCATAGATGCATAAATATGTGCATAGCTTTAACAAGGGCCTCATGAAGGTCTGTTCTGTTATTCTCTTTTGGAGAATATAGACATTGTGGGCATTCATTTCCCTGATAAGCTGGTGAAGATTCTTAGACATCCAGGTCATAATCATTCCAAAAAAAAAAAAAAAAAACTTTGGACTTTGTTTTTCAAGTTTGAAGACTTCCCATTGAGGACATTTTTCAATTCAAAATTACAGTAGCCCAACAAATCCTTGTTTTGGCTATGAAAATATGCAAATTGAACCTGATGCCTGATCCCAATAGCTTGACTCTGAACCGAATTTGATCCCTATTACTTTTTGGCCACATGCACATTATTGTGCTGCCTGGTCAACCCTATGAAAATGTTCTGGAACTGCCACTGAACTGACACCCAATGCATGGAGGGTAACCCAAAAAGGGCCATTGTTAGAGAAACTGGGTGCCTAAAAAGTGCTGTTTTCAAGCTAATTAATGGAAAGTTAGCTGGAATGAAAAGTAGACAAATAACAATTACAATTCCTTTAGGGAAAGGGGAAGGAAAATCATTTATTAAGAGGAAAGAAATTGAAAAATGGCACACAAAAAAAGGTGGAATGAAGATAAAAATGAAGGTTATATAAAGTACAAAAGTCAGTATTAAATAAAAATATTAATGAGAGAAACCGAAGGGAAGAAATAATAATGATCAGATTAAGAGTAGGTCATACTTATTTAAATGACAATTTATACTTAATAGGGAGGAAAAATAATGATAAATGTGAAGGATGTGGAGAGATAGAAAATATAGAACACGTATTGATGAACTTTAAAACATCTGGACCTGAAAGGAAGAAATTGAAAAGAGGACAGGCCAAGAATGGAGTCTTAAAGGATTATTGGGAAATAAAGGAAATATAAAAGATATTTATAGATTAAGGAAAGCATTATTTATTTATCTTCAGAATACAAAATTAAAAAATAGAATTTAATAGATGTAAAACAATGTTGCTACACACTCATGAACAGTAGGTGGCGGTATGCCCGCCCCTTCCCTAGAGCCCGGTGGGATCGAAAACATTTTGAATGGAAATCAGTGGGGAGAGATTAATAAACTTCTGGTCCCAGTCGCTCTCTGTCACTGATTCCAGATATGCTGGTTGTGTATTCAAATTGTTTTTTTTATTTTTTTTTTAGTTCCTCTTTGGCCAAAATCTGGTCAAAACCCATCAATGAGATCGCACCAAACAGGAAGTTAATTGCACAAAGGATCCGGTAGATTTCCAAATAAAACACCTCCGATCTTAACCCATGATCCTTTTTTTAACTAGTTTAATTAGTTTCTCCCGTATGCCACGACGTAATGCATTGATCTGAAAATCAACCTCAGACGCAACGCACGCAGTGGCGAGGGTTTGATCCGTCAGATGGAGTTAAATCACAAAGAATTCAATGTTGAATCGGGGCGGCAGCTAAATGCTAGGCGATGGGTAGCAGCCTAAACGTTGCAATTTCACATAATCCTGACGAGATCCGAAAAACCGTAGCAAAGACTAGCAAGCGGGTGATTATGTATGTTCACTAAGTAAATATTATGTAAATAAACCCTACACTTCTCGCTATAAATGTAATCAAAAACCATTTAAATGCAGAAACTGATTGAAATTATTGATTTTCCCACTAAAAGTTAGAGAAATCTCAGCCATGTTTATACCAAAATGTTACAGTTTCACATTATCTTGAAAAATCTTTGCAAGAAACGAACAAGCAAGTGAATATGTACATTCCCTGAGTAAATATTCTGGCAACAAACTATACATTTCTCACTAGAAATGTAATCAAAACTCATTTTAATGCAAAAACAAACTCAAGTTATTAATCTTTCCACAAAAAATGAGCGAATGTCGGCCATCTATATATATTTTTTTCTTCTCCCAGCTGGAATCTTGAAAGTCACGTGACTAGGACGTAAAACAATAGAAAACGTATAGGTAGAAGAAATGTAACAGTACCACAAAAAAATGGCCATTAATGTACCTCCACTACGTTTTGCAGTGTGGACCAACGTAGTGGGGGTACATTTTCCCATGAGACTGGGTTGATGACACGGATGACAGAGTATCCTCACCAACATATTCACAATTGCATCAAATTTAAGTGGGGTTTTATATCTGAGAAGATATAAAACTCAACAAAACAATCCAAATAGAAGAAGGCCCCATAATATGAGTTACAACAATCCTTTTTGTCCTTTTGGATGGCTAATTAAGTATTTCTAACTTGAATTGAGGTGCATTAAACAATGATGTCAGAGGTCAGCACCGTGATATCCAAGGCTGCCATCTTGGACGAGTAAATCAGAGCTGGTGAGTAACTCTGGACTCCTTCAGGAGTTAGGAGAGACAATCAATAAAAGAAATATACCGGTAATTCTTTTATTGAATATCTTACCTGTGCATACAAGCTCCAGAATTGAATAAAACTTAGATGATGATGATGCAGACTCCCTCAGTGAAGATCCAGATTTAAACAAGTTGAGGTTAATTTCCCAAAAAAGTTTAACAGAAGTATTATTCCTGGTTCCCATGGAAACAACAGAACCACAGTCCAGCTCTCTGCAGGCTAAAGCTGCTTCCTTCATGGTCCAATTTGAGGAATTCACTGGTCTCCAAGTTCCCAGTTTAACCTCCAGTAATCCTTCACAACGACTGGCTCCTCCCACCAATCTGACAGGTTCTGAACAGAAAATTTCAATGCTCAGTAAATTGTCATTTCATTAAGGTTTGATTTAGAAAATGAGAACAATGGATATTAGATAATTAGTAGTTCAGGTCCTCTTCTACCTGAGCATGTAAGTCCAACAGCTTTGCCAGGTGAGCAGGTGTTTCTAACTGGGCCTCTGTTTCTACAGCCCAGGAGAGAAGATTCTGTCCCTTCACACTGGAACTCTTTGGTCCATTTAGATGCTTTCACTTCTCCATAGAGTGCTCCTTGGATGACCAAAGGAGGCCCACAACCAATCTCCCTGCAGACCACCTCTGCATCCTGCTGATCAAAGTCAGTTTCACATACAGTAGACCAGCTCCAGTCAGATTGGGAGAACTTGACCTCCAGTCTGCCTGAACACAGATTGGTTCCATTCACCAACCTCACATAGTCTGAATAGACAAGAGAGAGAAAAGCCTGTGTATCATTCGTTCATTTGTTTTTCAATTTGAATCTTATAGTAAAAATACAGGAAACAATTATTATTCTATGTGTGGTAATGTGGCCTTTTTGTTAAGTTGTTGCATGTTTTCTAATTTTGGATTTTCTTTATTTTTGAACTTGTTTGCTTGTTTTCAATTTTGTGTGTTGCATGTTTTTTTGGATTTTGTTTGGAGGCCACATTGCCACACACACCTGGACACGCCCACAACGGCACAGGTGTTCCCAATCAACTAAGCAGCGTGCCGACTGGGACGCTGATTTAAAAAAGGCAGCTGCTTGGTTGGAGGGACAGACACCGGACATGGGAAGGTTTGGTTGGGGAAGGCCGATCTTGGAGGGAGCCGGACGGAGCGAGTGAGAGGGAAGCAGCGGGAGAGCCTTGGGGACTGACGGCAGGAGGCCCGCCGGAGCGAGGTGGAGAGACGCGCACCGGAGAGAGAGACGCGCACCGGAGAGAGAGACGCGCACCGGAGAGAGAGACGCGCACCGGAGAGAGAGACGCGCACCGGAGAGAGAGACGCGCACCGGAGAGAGACGCGCACCGGAGAGAGAGACGCGCGCCGGAGAGGGAGACGCGCGCCGGAGAGGAGCGCGCCGGAGAGAGAGACGCGCACCGGAGAGACGCGCACCGGACAGAGAGACGCGCACCAGAGAGGAGCGCGCCGGAGAGACGCGCACCGGAGCGAGCGAGGTGCAGGGACGCGCACCGGAGCAAGGTGCAAGCACGCACGCCGGAGAGACGCTCACCGGAGCGGGGTGCAGAGAGGCCCGTCATGGAGCGAGGCGCAGAGGCACGCTGGCGAGAGGCGCGTGTTGGAGGAGACCTCGCAGGCCAGCTACGCTGGAGAGGCCCACACGCGCAGCGTGCCGAAACGAGGACCCAGCGCTGGGGTGGACGGTGCCCTCCATTATACCCGCCAAGTGCGCGTCTTTTAACAGACTTCCCCATTGACTCTGCTGATCTCCACCATCTGGATTTTTATCTTTCTTTTTAATCTTTTCTCTTTTATCTATCTTTTTTTTATCTTTTTCCTTTTAACGTATTTTATTGAACACTTTTAGCGAGCTCGTCTTTTTACGTAAATTATTGAACTTTTAATCTATTAAACTTTTTAGGGCCCTGCTCACAATCGCCGCAGTCTGTTTGGTTTTTATGTTTTTTTTAAAGATGATCGCACCTCTCGGGTGCCACGGAATCTGGCGTTGCTGGTAGGACTGCGGGGTTGTGAGCAGTGTTTTTAACGGGTTTTATTTTATTTATTTATTTTTTTAAATCAGATGGGAAGGTGCTCTCCCATAGGACTATGGATCGGCCGGGACGGGCCTTATTAAAGTGTGGGGGGATGTGGTAATGTGGCCTTTTTGTTAAGTTGTTGCATGTTTTCTAATTTTGGATTTTCTTTATTTTTGAACTTGTTTGCTTGTTTTCAATTTTGTGTGTTGCATGTTTTTTTGGATTTTGTTTGGAGGCCACATTGCCACACACACCTGGACACGCCCACAACGGCACAGGTGTTCCCAATCAACTAAGCAGCGTGCCGACTGGGACGCTGATTTAAAAAAGGCAGCTGCTTGGTTGGAGGGACAGACACCGGACATGGGAAGGTTTGGTTGGGGAAGGCCGATCTTGGAGGGAGCCGGACGGAGCGAGTGAGAGGGAAGCAGCGGGAGAGCCTTGGGGACTGACGGCAGGAGGCCCGCCGGAGCGAGGTGGAGAGACGCGCACCGGAGAGAGAGACGCGCACCGGAGAGAGAGACGCGCACCGGAGAGGGAGACGCGCGCCGGAGAGGAGCGCGCCGGAGAGAGAGACGCGCACCGGACAGAGAGACGCGCACCGGAGAGGAGCGCGCCGGAGAGACGCGCACCGGAGCGAGCGAGGTGCAGGGACGCGCACCGGAGCAAGGTGCAAGGACGCACGCCGGAGAGACGCTCACCGGAGCGGGGTGCAGAGAGGCCCGTCATGGAGCGAGGCGCAGAGGCACGCTGGCGAGAGGCGCGTGTTGGAGGAGACCTCGCAGGCCAGCTACGCTGGAGAGGCCCACACGCGCAGCGTGCCGAAACGAGGACCCAGCGCTGGGGTGGACGGTGCCCTCCATTATACCCGCCAAGTGCGCGTCTTTTAACAGACTTCCCCATTGACTCTGCTGCTCTCCACCATCTGGATTTTTATCTTTCTTTTTAATCTTTTCTCTTTTATCTATCTTTTTTTATCTTTTTCCTTTTAACGTATTTTATTGAACACTTTTAGCGAGCTCGTCTTTTTACGTAAATTATTGAACTTTTAATCTATTAAACTTTTTAAGGCCCTGCTCACAATCGCCGCAGTCTGTTTGGTTTTTATGTTTTTTTTTAAAGATGATCGCACCTCTCGGGTGCCACATATGTAAAAAAAATAGGAAAGCCTAAACCAAGAAGCCTTTGGCCCTACTAAATGAAATATGAAGTAACAGATAACAAACATATTAATTAATTTTTTCAAACTTTGTATCAGGCTTTGAGATAAAGATAGTTACATGAGGCATAAACAAAAAGTAGAAGAAAGCAGGAGAATGAAAATAGTGCTCAAGTGAAACACAGCTTAGATAGTATTGCAGATAGTCAATATATAAATCAAGAAATCATAGCAGTGCAGTAATAGTGTCAATTATTATATATCCTAATAAATGTAATATCATACTGACTTCATTAATTTGTTCATAGACATTATAAATATTAGTGTTTATTTGTGTGGTGTAAAATACAAGGATGTTTAAAACTGCTTATTAATTTATCCAAACTGAACAAAAACTAAGAGCAAAGAGCCTCCAGGGGTTCTGGATGGTGCTGCTGTCCCGAAAAAAGGAGAAAGCTATCACTTTTTTGATTATCAGGAATAAGCTGTTCTCTCTGTGCCGATTATAACAAGCCTGTCTTATCAGAGCTAAAAAAAAAGAACATGCTTTCAGTTATGTTCATATTGGATGGCAGGGCTGTTACAAGAGTTTCATTGTTATGCTGTGGAAGCCTGTTTTACTAAGATCATTTGTACAATTTTTCTTTAGTCACTTGTTGCTGTCTTTAATGAGCTTTTTTGCTTAACTTTTTTTTTTTAAGGAGAATGACACTTCATTTTCCAAAAAAGGTTTTGAAAAGACTCACCCTCTCTAAAAAAAAAAAGCACATGCACAAACCTGTACCCGCTCCCGAGAGGGAATGCCTATTAAACGTGTGCGAGAGCATGCAGGAGCCCATTTCTCCTCATGCATGCTCTGTTTGAAAGTTTTTGTTTCTATCGCTCATACAAGCTTACTTTCCAAAAGAAGATATGCAATTTTTCCACTATGTCAGACACACCAGCGGTAAGTGAAAACTGGGACGAGCATGACGGCCTTACGTAAACATAACACCAGTATGATTAGGCATACCACTTATTTAGATGATCCACCAACAAAAATAACATTCTCCACTATACCTTTAACAAATTCATCTGAATTCTACTTTTTCATTTAATTATGACTTTATGACAAAACTGACTTGATACTGTTTTTTTTAGGGTGAGGATATGGGACTGAAGAGTAGATCACCTGGCAGAACAGCTGATTTTGTTTGATAATTAAATAAATAAAGTCAACTTGCATGTCTTCAGCTGCTGTATTTCAACTGACAAATAAGAGCCCAAAGCTACATATAAAAAATCCTTGTATATCTTATTCATCTTTTTTTATGTATATTTAATTTAGTTTTGCAATGGGAAATAAAAAAGAATTGGTCCAATTGTTTTGAAGTTGATGAAAAAAGATTTTTAGTTTATTCATTTTTTTATTTAATTTGAAAAAAAAATAAAGAATGAATGACAAGGAGAAACAAGGAGTCATTAACCCTATGATTTAATTTACATATTTTATTTATCATTTTACTGAAGTGGGCAAGTCGAGCCCTCCAAGCCATGAGTCCTGCATGTATTTCTGCTGAATCAAACCTAAATAAAATAGATAATAACCTTCTCAGCCTTGTAAAAAAGTTCACAATCTTGTAATGATTCATTCATTTGGTCAAGGAGTTCAATCATGGAAAATCCAAACCTTAAAAGAATCACATTGACTAAAACTTCCAGTCAAGAACAACAATGCTTTACATCATTTATAATTTTTTAACTCCCTATTATTATGGCGCACATTACAGTTTTGATCCTTCTGTCACGCAGATTAAAGATCAGATGTTATTGGAGCCACTGGACCCTCATTTTTTTATCCTTTCTCATAAAATCTTTGAACACGAGACAGAAAGATAAGAAAAAATATCCATAAAGAGCTGAGAAGATATTAAAACGTCTTACAGCTCTACAGGTTTAAATTGGATGAATATTAAGCAGCTAACGGGTAGTTTAAAATCTTCCAGCTAAAGACTTATGTGCTGGTTCATTTGATTCTATTAATCTGACTTGTTTGAAAGTATATGAAAATATTAAATAGTTTGATCATAAATAAATGTTTATTGTGATTCCAGTATGTCTTGGGTGATCTTAGATATTTAGTGTTGTGTCCTTATCTCTGATAAAGATAATTTACTATGCTGAGTAGATTAACTCACGGGCGTTTTAGTTGCATAATATTTATCAGTGTTTGGCATATCATTTAAAAAAATAACTAGTTTAATTACAAGTTAATTCTCCCAAAAATTACCTAAGTTATTTATTTATTGATTGATTTTTTTATTAACATATTAGCTTTAGTTACTATGATCTAAAATGTTAATACATTTGGATGACTTCCCTGTTATTGGCACTTAAAATTTGATTGTGAATTCACCTATTAAATATGAATAATCTATTAAACTGGCTAAGTATCTTAAAACATTGGGCATATATTTTTATCAACTCATTTTATCATATCTACCTCATTTTGGTGTGTGCAGAGGAACAAGTGATTGACAACCTGCAGTCTAGAGCTCTTTGAGTTAGGAGCCCTACATATCGCTGAAAGTACTCGCCACAAGTGTTGTGTAAGAGTGAGACGATAGAAATGCGCCTTATTAGATAAGAGCTGCTTGTAAACAACATAGACAAAGTCGTTGCTGAGAATAATGTGCAAGTCCTGTGTAGATTTTTGCCTTTGGCTTTATCTGAAATAGTGTCAATACCTCCACTTTAAAAACTCAGTCTTTGAATCTGCTTTGCTCTCTACCTTTACCATGTTTCTCTGTTTTTGATCATCTCACTCTGTGTCTGCAATCCATCGTAAGCTCATGTTGCAAACTCCTCATTAAATAAAGTAGCTATCAGCTTTCTTGAAAGGAACTAGAAGTCATTAGATAACAACATTGCCTAATTTCTATTTAATGTTCAGTATCCAGGGTGTAGGGCAGAATAATAGTGACCATAGCGAGACAAAATGTGAGTAAAGACAAACCCTCTTACTATTGCTAAAATGCAAATGAGCTTTATAGGATAAAGACTTGGTTAAACTTGTCTTTTGGCAAAATCTGATAAAAAAAAAAAATTGTTAGTAAGGGTTTAGACACAGCATCAGTTGAATTAATAGTGAAATGCATTGCACGGATTTACTTTCTTATAAGATGTAGAAATATGATTTATAATCACGGTTTATAGATAGAAACAACATTTTATGTTTTGAACTTTTTGTGAATTATCAGCTTATTTTTTACCAAAGAATAAGAGGGTTCTGGTTGCAGATCTGCACTGTCTGTACCCAGAGTTGCACTGTTAGTACCCAGAGCTGCACTGTCAGGACCCTGGCTGCATAGCTATACTGTGAGGTCTCCTGGCTGTTAGAACGAGCAGCTTATTCAAAGACTTTCAAAGTAAAAGCGAAGTTGATTCAAAGCATTTCTAAAGTAAAAGCTACCCTCAATAAACTCCCAATGAAGCTAGCTTCCTTTCACAAACAAGTGTTGTTATGCTGGAAATGTTATTTTCCACCAAACTCCTCTCTGAAATAATAGATATGACCATCCATTCATCCATTTTCTAACATGCTTATCCCAAGTGGGGTCGTGAGGGGTGCTGGTGCCTATCTCCAGCTGTCTACGGGCGAGAGGAGGAGTACACCCTGGACAGTTCGCCAGTCCATCGCAGGGCAAATAATAGATATGTGCTACACAGAAATAAGTCTCAATATTTGGATCCCTGGATGGAAAAGGGCTTTTTGTCTATAAGACATCTAACCACCAATGGAGGTTGGCCGTGCTATTAGGATTTTTTCTTAAATTAAATTAATTTAAACTGCCTCCATGCTCAGTTTAATACTGTTATAAACTCTAATCCAGCAGCAAATATGTGCTGTGTGCTATTCTCGAATGCTTCGAATACAATTTCCGGAATAAACTTCCGATCCTGACAATGCCCCATTTTTCAGGTATGCAAGAAAGGGTCCTGGCAGTGCAGCTCTAGGTCCTGAAGTGCAAGTCTGCAGCCAGACTCTCTTGCGAAAATTTGCATTGAACTTGGATCCACTTGTTCCTGTTTAGTCTGAAAACCAGTGAGCGACTGTATTCAGTTAAATATACCAAAGTTTCCGGCAGTATATATGAAAGGGAATTCTTTTTAATTCTACTGAAAGACTTACTTAAACAGGTGATGTTCAGGAAGGATGAAGCTAATGCTGCTGAGGCACACTCTTTCAGAGGATACCCAGACTGAACACAATCAGGACTGATCCACCACACAGGGCTGACTGAGCTTTTCTCATGTTTTTCAACAGAAACAGCAGAACCGCAAAGCATCTCCACACAGACAACAGCTGCTTCCTTAAGGAACCAGTTTGGACCATGAACTGGTCTCCACTCTGTTCGTTTCACTTCTAACGTTCCTTCACAGCGACTGGCTCCTTCCACCAACCTGACAGGTTCTGAACAGAAAACACAGATTTGTCAGTTAAGGATATTTGACCTTGGTCATAGCAGTACTTATGTCTGCAGCTCCTCTGTCACCAAAGCAGGTGAGTCTAACAGCTTTGTCAGATGAGCAGGTGATTTTGACTGAGCCTGATCTTCTACAGTCCAGGAGAGAAGATTCTGATCCTTTACAGTTGTACTCTGCAGTCCATGTAGAAGCTTCCCCGTCTTTACCCCACGCCCCCTGGTGGACCAAAGGAGGCCCACATCCAAGCTCTCTACAGACCACTTCTGCATCCTTCTGGTCAAAGTCAGCTTCACACACTGCAGACCAGATCTGATTGGACCTTACAGACTGGGAGGATTTCACTTCCAGTTTGCCTGAACACAAACTGGTTCCATTCACCAATCGGACGGAGTCTGAATGTAAAGAAAATGAGAGATAACAGACTTTGCATACAGTAGATGCATTTGCTAAAAAAAGAGACAACTGTTAGATCCTATTTAAGGGATTTTCTCTTTCTTATTTAAAAAAAAAATCTTAATTAATCTGTTCTGTTTATCGCTTTTCAGATTATTATTATTATTTCCGATTTATTTTTGTGAAATTGTTATCTTTAAATTATGACACACTCATTAAATGCAATGAGCATACACTGATACTTTGCGAGAGGTTGCTGGAGGTAGATATGAAAATTTGGTACTGATTTAAGGTTTAAGATTTTAAGATTTAACTGAGTTGCTCCAAAGCTACTTTTCTTACTTCATTGTTTCACAATTTGCCACTCCATCTTTTAAAAGCTCAAGGTATCAAGATTTTCTTTACCATCCGTGTGTGTGTGAAAATGATACTTACCTTTGTGGGTTGTACAGAGGCTCCTGGTGATATTAGAGATTATTCTTTTGAGCTGTTTGTATTTTTTAAGAATGTATAAATGATTTTCAGCAATACTCTTCAGTTCAGTTATATCAACATCACCAATTCCTGAAACAAACATGGATCATTTTACACTATTATTGACAAATCAGGAAAATATCTCCAGACAGTTCTTCCACTCATGTGTTGTATTCTGGTGATTGAAAATAAATTAATCCACACAGAAAAAATGAGTCACCAACGATGTATATCTCAATTCCAGTGTCTTTCAGGTTCTTTGCAGCAGGTTCTACATCATCCTGAGATTGTCCATCAGTAATTAGAACTGCAATTTTTTTGGAGTCTGGACGCATCCCCACAGTGGGTTTGAAGCTCCGATGAAGGATGTGATGCAGAGCAATGCCTTCATGTTGTACAGAAAAAAATCAGATGTCATGTCAGCAGGCTAATTTTTACCTTTCCTAATTTGGATGCCTTGGACGGTTTTTAAAGAATCTCCATTAAAATTACGTGATTCTGACTAAAATGTTAAGCTTTAAGGATAATGATGATTCGGTTCCTGTGATACATACAGATATATAAGTGACTTTTGATTTAAATTACTTTCATTTACCAGTCATTTACACATGTGCCATTTGTGTAGTAACAAATCATCATATTAGTCTAGTTTTACCAAGTATTTTCTGAACATCAACAGATGTCTCTCACCTTTTCTTCTGAAATGTCTGGTTTTGAACAAAGAGTAAATCAGAATGAATAATCCCAGAGCTTTTCATATAAAAAATGAGCTTAATGCTAACCTGTATTTGTTCCTCCTCCTGGTTGGATTATATTTTTAATAGCCTCCAGCAGGGACTGTTTGGTTTTGTAGGTGTTCAGATCCCACTCAGTCTTTGGATCTCCACTATACTGATTAAGACCTAAAGAAAGCACAAAGCAATTGGTCAAACAGAGCATTTCAAATTTTCAAAATTAGTAATTGTACTAACTCAACTCCAATTTTGTGAATTAGTGTGGGATGAACAAATAAAAAAACAAACACAAAAGTACTACTACTGAATTAATTTTTTGTTGAAAACTTTGTTAATATCATGACATTAAAACTTCTCGGCTGGCCTGGGAATGTCTTGGGATTCTCTCCCTAATGAAGCTGCAGCCTCTGTGATTCGACCCCGGATAAGCGAGAAGATCAATGAATTAATGCATGTAAAACGGGTGTGAATCAAAAAAGGTATACCAATCTGGTGGGAATGCTAGTTTTTAACCATCTGAGAGCTAATTTTTATTTAGTATTTTTCAAGTCTTTATTGCCAACTATTATTACAATATTAGCTTTAGCTGTTTCACATGCAAGTCCTAAAAAAGCAAATGGCAGTTATAGACATAATGTCAAAAGAAATATTGACAAAGACTTGCAAGATGGTCTGGATCCCACAAAAAGAAATGTATAACTATTTAAACTGGAGGTTTCCACAGATTTCTCTGATACAAAAATCTAATTTCAGTATCATGTTTATACCTCAAGGTGTCAGATCTCTGTAGATTATTTTTTACAGCTCTTATCTTGTTTACATATTGATATGCAGGTGTTTATACAGAGGAAGTCTAGGAGCATTGTGAAAGGGGCTAAGGGTAAGGCGGTCTATAATCATGTGAAGGGATCGAAAATCTAAGACAAGTGTTAACAGTCTTCAGCGTCTCTCCAGAGGCAATTCAATTGGCAAACGCTGTTATAAAACAACGTGGTGAATATCTGCAGCAAACAAGTCGTTGCTATGAAAATCCAAGAACTAAGAATACAGCTTGCTGGATGAGATTATTAAACTTAACAGTTCTTGGAATCTGGCCTCTTTTGGTCTTTTTGCAGTGATTGGAACAACATTTTTTTATTTTCTGCATGAATCCCCACACTTGGTTAAAAGCAGTGATGTAGAATGTGAGCCAGAGCCTTTCCTGCATGTTTCAAAAACAGATAAATCAAAATCTGGGGGCTAAGGTTTATGTTATATACTAATACCTACATTAGGAGAAAAAAGGTAAACATAGTGAACTTATATTAATGAAGTGGGCCCACACATTAATAGAAACATTTAACAAATATTCAGTCTTTTTCTAAGAGTCACATTTTCTAGAATGTCTGTACAATTTTTATTTAAGGAAGGATATTCTAAATGAGAATAAAATTAGGCCTTTCCTGTGAGATTAGTAATGCTAATGTTTGTTAATTTTCATATGGGCTGCAGGGTGGACAGTGGATGGCACTGTTGCCTTGCAGTAAGAAGGTTCTCGGTTTGATTCCTGGGCCGGATTCTTTCTGCATGGAGTTTGCATGTCCTCCCCTTGCATGTATAGGTTCTCTCCGTTGCTTTGGCTTCCTCCCATAAAATCATGACAGCTAGGTTAATTGGCCTTTCTAAATGTTCGTAGGTGTGAGTGTGTTTGTGTGTGTATGGTTGTCTGTCACAGCGTTGTTGCCCTGCGACAGACATGGTGCACAGTGTAACACCCGTCTTACCCATAGATTGCCATAGAGAACCTACCCCACTGCAAACCTGACATGGACTAAGAGGGGGAAATGACTGGATTGGTAGATTAGTTTTCATATAATTGCTGCTGTTTCTTTATTTGATGTATCTACTGAAATGTTCTAGTTTGTAAGTGAGGATCCCAACAGAACCTGAAGTCTCAGAGCACCTCATGGTAAGAATCAGCTGTGAAATCAATGAAATGTTGACCTGTTTCATGTGTCTTCCATGCAACTGTTGTAATTTCTTGAGCCATTAGCAAGGACAGTTTGTTTTTTTATGTGTTCAGATCCCACTTAGACTTTGGTAAGTAACTGTACCAAGCCAGACCTCTGAAAAGCATGCAGCCATTGATGAAACCAAACAGTAAGAAGTTACTGTTTGTATTCATCATACATTTGCTACTGATGTGTTGGATGAGCAGAAGGGAAAACTCCCATTACAGTGAACCCTCACTGTAACGCGGTTCAACTTTCATGGCTTTGCTGCTTCACAGATTTGCATGGTGCATTGTGTTCTGCATTCTGATTGGCTAAACAGCCTCCACGCTTCTTCTCTACCTGGGTATCAATAACGTTAAGTTTTAATATTTCAATATACATGTATGTAAAACAGCTTACCAAATTTAAATTTGCAAATTTTCTCCAAAACCCATAATGTTGACAAAAAGTTCTGCACCGACAAAGGCACTTGCGGTCAGGCTAGAAAGGCAGAGGAAGATGCTAACTATTGCAGAGAATGTTAAACTTCCTGATATGCTAAAGGGGGGTAGAAGCTATGCAGCTGTAGGTCACCATTACGGAATTAATAAATCTTCCATTCTGTCATGATCCTGGCACTGGTGGCTGGCCTGATTGCTCATTCCACTCACCTGTGTAACTCTGTCTGTTTTTCTCATTACTGCTTATCTGATCCACCTGTTTTCAGCTCCTATATATGCTGTGTGTTTTCCAGCTACCAGTGCCAGGATATTCAAGCTGTTTTGTGTGAGTAACTCTAGCCCTCTGTTTGTTTTTTTGATTATCTAAATTGTGACCTGTTTCTGTCCTGTGGATCCTGAGTTTTGCTTTGCCCTAGTCTGCTCTTTAATCTGCTCTGTTCTGGACTGATTCCTGGATTCACCTGGCTCACCAAACTTGGACTGTTTTTCTGACATTGGCTTGGATTCCCCTTCTGTACCTCATCGGCTTTCTGATCCTCTGGTCTGTGAACTTGGTTCTGGTTCGACTTCGGCTTTGGACATTCCCTTCAGGACTCTGTTGCCCCTCGGCCTCGGCTGGCTTCAGCTCCACTCAGAAACAGGATCCGGTTTATCCGCCCCAGCTGACGAGCAGCCATGCTGAGAGTTAAATAAAGTCTCGTTTTGAACTATCCAGATCTGTCTGTTTTTGAATATGGGGTCCAAGGTCCAATTCATTACACATTCTTTCCATAAAGAAGCAGGAAAATAACATAAAGACGACAGAAGCAAACTGTTGAAACTGTCTGCAACAAGACCATGCTAAGGATGGAGTCTACATCGGTTTTGTGAATTAATGACTGCAGGAAAAAGATAATTAAGCTGGATACGAACTTTGTTAAAAAAAGTGATCATGAACAATAAATGTAAAGCGATCATGGAGGAAGAAGGATTTAAACCTGAACAACTTTTTGGTAATAATTATAAACCATAAAAGTTACTGCTTCACTGATTTCGCCTTTCACAAGTTCTTTTTGGAACGTAACCCCTGCAGAAAGTGATGGTTCACTGTAAACTCTTTATTTTATAGTTTTTGACAATACCCTTTCATCACATATAAAACTCTTAAAAATTAAAAAAAAAAAACAAGAACGTAATACCGATCTGGACACTGTTGGGGTCAATATGAACCTTTTTAACTATTTCAGTTAAGAACATTTTAACAGATGCAAAGTCTGAAGGAGAAACACTCCCAGAGCTGTCGACTAACATCACAATGTCAGCTTTGGTTGTTTCACATATGGCTCCTAAAACAAAAAAAGAAGAGAGGAGAAATAATAAGAGATCTCTGTAAGAAGTTGTGCTATGTCACCAACATGTTCTCACTCCCAAATTGTCAAATATCTATGCCATGTTAAAACTCGCTTTTGATTACATGCTGAAGTGTCGGTGGTACCATTCTAATGAAATATGGATGCCCAAGGTAGATGGGGGTTGCCGACATGACCCGCAACAAATTAGGAAAAAAAAGTTTAGCCTTCAAAGTTCGTTGTTGGTTGCTTTAGGCGTGGGATGAGTTATATTTTTGTGATATTTTTTTATTATGCAGTTCATTGTAGATATTTGTGTAAGTAGCTGCCACAACAACGTATCCTCACTCTCTACTTGTCCCAAAATGGACACTTGGTCAGGCCCACTGCATGTGACCAGGGAACCCCTCTCAGCATTGAGGGTGCATGATAGCTTTGCAGGAGCTTAAGAGAAGTTTCTATGAGCTTTAAATAAAACATTAACTCTAACCCCTAAACGTAAAAAACCCCGAAAAACAATACTATCCTGTTACCATCCACTCCAAAGATACCAACAATGGTCAAGTTTTAAAAATAATGTGCGTGTCGCTTGATACGATGTTCTCAACCTTTTATTTACTCCATAACTTAATATGTGACATGAAGGCTTTGAACCCGAAACATAAATATTTGACAAATTTGAAGTGAGAATGTAATGTTCTCAATCTTTCATGCACCCTGCACGTCAATAAAATAGTCTGAGATTCAGGCGGCTTGAGCAAGGAATGATATTTGACAAGTTGGGAGTGAAAATAATTTGATATCAAACCATTTACAGCACAGGTTCATCTGTTTTCTTTAATAGCAAATGAATGTTTTTTAATGTATCTTTGACATGAAATTCATATCATGGGTCATTAACAATCAAATTAACGTACAGATAGAAGGACATTAAAACAAACTAACTCATGTGGACAAAGCTGTAATTGGCTTCCGATTCTAGCCCACGATTCTGGAAATTAATAAAAGGTGATTCCACTTAATTTTTCACTACCTTCAAAATCTTTAATATACTCTAATAAAAAAAAACGACAACACCTTGACACATCAAACTTGAACTAAATTACTTGTAGAATAATTAAAACCAGGTTTGGGATTTTGTCAAACCTTTCTCTGATTTGTGATATTTCAATAAAGACCCTTTATTAATTTCTTGAATCGAAAGCTAGAATTGGAAGCCAACTTCAGCTTTGTCTCATATGGTATGGCACAGTGAATATGGAACACATGAAGAAAAGAACTTACAAATTGTTTTCTCTGAAAGCATTTAAGAACAATAATCATTCACTTACTACATAAGACTCAAACTGAATAGGATGCTTCTTGAGGAGTTAGAGAGTTTTAGGCTTTCTCATCAATAACCTGGA